TTGAAAACTCCAAATTTTCTTAACTTGGCTCCAAAATATGCACTTTTTAGCTCTCATACTTCCTGCTAATATTCTACAGACAAATTGCAACTTTCCTGCATTTCTGCTACCACCAAGCACCCAGAGGATGACAAAAGAGAGAAGGTCCCAGAGAATATAAGCCTCTTTACCTGAGACAGGTTGCAGTTGTTACCTATTCCCTTTACAGACTACTTCAGCAGTATTGACCCAGGAATGGAAAAGAGCACAGATAGGGACTGAAGACAGAGATCTCTCCAGTCTTCTGGCTAATCTTGGTATAGCCACCTTTAACATCCTCTAGCCAGACTTACAGAAAATGTGAAGCATGGGGTTTGACTCCATTAATATTGGAGCTCTTGTTAGTTCCAGAAGTATCTGGGGCAGTTATAATTGTAGTGCCTCAGAAACTGTGACCTCTGGGAACTTCTTAATCCCTTTTCCCTTGGGACCAAAAGGTCCTCCTGGGATAAACAGGCAGTTAGATGGGAGAAGAAAATGATTTTCTTTCTTCCCATGACGAACCCCTGGTAATCCAGTGCTATATTGACTGCATGTCCTGTAGGCAGTAAGTACATCTCCTGGGTACAGGGATCTGATGTCCACATCCGTCTGTGTTCATATTCATTTGCCTATGCACACTGAACACCTTCTGTGGATCCAATAAGTGAATAGAAATTTTAGTGGGCTTCCTGCTTGTTTTGTTTGATAGGCATTGCCCAAACCATGCTATTGAATGGATTGGTGTTAATCTATCATGGCTTTTATCAAGGTTTTATGATAAAAATGCAAGAGAAAACTGAACAAAATCTTACTGAGAAAATGCAATGTGATATTCAGAGAGAAAAGATCTATAATAATTTTTGTTGTGGTGAGAGGTTTAAAAATGGAATTTATAAATAATCCGATGTTAGTTAGGAACCATGTTTTTCCTTTAGGCTTTATTCTCATTTTGAACCTTATATGAATTATTCACACTTATCAACTAATGGAAACAAGCATCATAAGTTTCTTCAAGGCCGTTCTTTTGTTTTATTTTTTTTTCCTGTATTTTCCAACATTCTTCCTATTTCTCTTCCCTTTAGAAAAGTGAAAACTCCAGTGGATTTAAAATATATCTTTCTAATTAATTTTTGGTATGCTTACACAGGGCTATATTTATTTATGGAAAAATTATTTTAAAACTGAATTTATACAAATGTCACTGGGTTATAAATCTAATGTTATTCTTTTTTATCAATGCTGTATCTTAAAATTTATACATGTTGCTATGTATAAGTTAACTTTATTATTTTTGACTGCTGTTCACTACTGAGGAAAGATCATTTGAGAATTTTACCCAATGCCTGTGAATTATGATGCTTTCCTTTCTGGACAGTGGAAACAGATATTATTTCAGGCCCTGTGAGATGATTGGATACTGTTCTCACTAATTCTTTTAGGTGCCCTCCTCCCTTCCTCCACCTTGGGTAGTGTCCTCATCTGCATATATTCTTTCATTACTTGAGGAAGATCGTCTGTAGATTTTCAGGCTTCTCTCTGTGTGCAGCTTTCTTTTCTCCAGTATTCTTTCTTGAGAGCTTTAGCAGCTTTTGTCTTTGTGTACTCCAATTACATCTCCTCAACTTAGGGACCGCACTGAGTTCCATTTGGTCTCTTTCTTCCCTGCACTGCAGCCTGAAAACTCTTTCAAGACAGAAAACTGGGGCAGTTGTAGGGCCTGCCTCATTTGTTTCACATATTTCAGGGATTACTGTCCTTACTTTCCTGATATCTAGTGTCTTGAAACTCGTTGTTTACTATATTTTATTCCACTTTTGGTTTGTTTTGTCTTAGGTCAGTTAAGAAAGCAAATTCAGTCCCTTTCATCACATCTTGGCTAGAAGCTGAATAATATGATAATTTTTAGAGTAATTTGATTCACCTCTCATCAGTATTTGTTGTAGCTGATCTCAAAAGATGCCCACCCCCAATGCAGCATGCTCGTGAAGAATCAACACTTTGTATGATCCCCTTATTTTCAATCTGAGATGAGTGTTAGATTCACTTTTGATTGAAAGAATGTGTTGGAAGTGAAACTGCTTGAATTCTGAGACAAGATATTAAGAGGCCTTGTAGCTGCTACCAGGATCTCATAGTTAAGTTGTTTATGGGAATAACTGACTGCACTGAGACAGTTTTGCTATGATGAAGCCCACATTAGCTATATGGAAAAAACTCATAAACAGAGGCCTATGCTCAGTCATGCTCTGATGTTTGAACCATCTCAACACAGGGGACAGGCATGTGAGTAAAAAAGTCATATTGGACATCCCAGCTGCAATACATGTCACACGAGGAAGAACCAAGAAATTCAGCTAACAGCTACATGGTACAGCCTAGCTGTCATGTTACTCAATCCATCCCAGTTCATGACCCAGTCATTGTTGTGCGGAAAAGATTTCCCCACTGTTTCCTTTCTGAATTCGCAATGCACAAATTCATTAGCATAATAAATGCTTATTTAGATGACACTAATAGATAACCAGAATAGAAATCAACAGTCAATCCCTCTTAGACCTGGGAAAGTAGGGCCCTGGCTCTGGTGTCTGACACCTTATGGGACCCAAGAGTTGGAGGATTTAGCTTATCAGAGAAGCAAGAAATTATTAAGACTGAATGGAAACATATGGAATGAAAATAGTTATGAAAGACTTGCATGAAGAAGTTACATGATTTCTATTGAATAGAATTTGACAATGTTGGAGTATACCTAAATTAAGCCAATTGGTTGTCTTGGATTTGATGGAATCGTTCTGAAATCGAACAGCCCTCATTCCTACTATATGATATGGGCATCTGACCCAGAGAAGACTGGGTCTCCTAGGCTGTGAAGGAAAGAGCAGGTGTGTAAGACTGTGAGCCAGGGGACCCAGAGAATCCCAAGAACACCTGAGCAGGGAAAGGAATAGGATATAGCCTTCTCACAGTGACCACTTCAAGTTAGATGCTGAAAGGGCCAAATGCCACTTAGTGGTGTGCAGTGAAGTATAAATCTGTCTTGTTCTCCAAATGAGCCTTTGGGACTAGGCCAAGACTGCCTCCCAAGAGAGGCAGGACCATGTACCTAAGTTCCAGTCATGTGAGATATCTCAGGGATACCTGGGGCCACGTAGATATCAGGTCTGGAATGGTGGGATCAGCAGCCCAGGTGATCTCAACCCAACCTCATCACCCTCATTTCATCCCCCTCCCACGCAATCTGGTCTAAGGCACTCAGAAATGTATTTCTGAAGCTCATTCCCACAACCTGCCTGCATGATTAAGACATGGTCTGACCCCGTCCCTGTTTGGTGTTGCTCTCAGTCTATACCTTGGACACATTCCTTAACCACAATGCATTCATAAAATTTGATCAGAGAGACCATACCTCATAAGTGTGTCCTGCGTCTAGAATGGAATAAGCTATCAATCAATGCGGCCAGTAATTATTCATCACCAGGAGAAAGAAATTCCTGGCCTTCACTCTGTTGGACTCCAGCCCCGTGTACCAAGACATCACCTGTGCACTGTGGCTGGTCTCTGTGCTGAAGGCACCTGAATCACAGGAACTAAAGGTAGGGAGAAAGAGAAGGAAAGATGGACTAAATCTGTGCGATTGAAGAAGAAACCTAAGACCGCTGAAGATGAGAACAGCGTTGTTAGACTCCTGGCAGACTCGAGAGCCCGAGAATAACAAACCGGTCACCAGGGCCCAGCGGCGTAGGCTCGGGGCTGTTCTCCTTCGCTGCAACTGAGGTCCAGGGCAGGACAGGGCGCTCGCTGGTTACCATGGACACGGCGAGCGGATGCACACCAATCAAAAGACAGCGTTCCTCGCTCCTTTAAATACGCCTCACCCAAAGCAACCTCCTCCATTCTGCTGGAACACAAACGCGCTTCTACGTTTCTATGGAGGAACTTGATTGGTCCTGTAAACCTTGTCCCGCTGGACAAAGACTTGCGAAGGAAAACGAAGTGCCACCAGGACTCCGTGGCCCTCCCTGCTTCTTCTCTTCAGGATGGTGAAGTCCAGATGAGTGAGACGCCACATACCGGCAGAGTCCCGGAAGGGTCACCCCAGTAAAAAGTGGGAAATCCGAGGAAAAGGAATGCAATGGAAGAAACTAAAGAGACTAGGATTAAGAGGATCAAAAGGCAAAAGAGAATAGGGAGACATGAAGGCGAAATAAGGAGAGAGCCCACTGCGAGCAACGCCTCCAATCCCCCCTGCAGCAGCAAAAGCAGAGGGAGAGCTGGCGGAGTCTTGAACCCCTAAATCCATAGTCCGTGTTGCTTTGAAGGAACCTCCAGGCCCATCTTGGAAGAATGTGTGCAGAGCAGCAGGCTGGTTTCAAAGCAAGACTCCACCCCGTTGAGCACACAGCCTTTCAGCAAACTGTTTCACCTATAGGACTCTCCCTTCTCCTCCAGGTGCTCTTTCAGGATGCAAACCTTTGCCATTCCAAATTTGGAATAAATTAGCAACACACTGCTATTTTCAGTTTTCTGTACAAACTTGAAAATTATGAATGCAGAAAAACTTAAGAAATGAATTAAGGAATGAAAATAATTACAATTTAATTGGTAAGGCTTTATTTGATAAAATTAAGATAATCTGCCGTTGTTGTATGCAACATCATTGCAATATTTAGATATGATATGTAAAGTTCATTTATTTCCAAATTACAGTAATTGGTTTAAGATTTTAGTGACAATTCTAGTTACTACTTCTTTAGCGGAATGAAGTTTTCTAAATTTAAGTCAAGAAAAAAATTCTACCTTAAGACTAAATGATTCAAGAAGAGCTTATCTAATTTGGCATTAATGTCAACAGAATATTTAGCATGTAAAAATCTGGATTTCAGTAACAATGACTTTGTGGAAATAAAAGTAGTAAAACTACATTTTTCTGAATAAACATAATTAATGATTTTATATGTCTTTTTTGGGCAGTTTTTATATTTATTTAAACAGAAAACGTGCACACGAGCTGTCTACTCATTTTCTTCACTGCGCAGCCTGGCATTGGGATTGGTGACTCTGATGGCCAGTTGGGCAGCTCTTTCCACGAAGGCTTTGTGGTTCTTGGAGGAAACATTGTGAGCAATCTTGGCACAGTAAGAGTTATTGCACATCAGCAGCACTTCCAGCTCCTTGACGTTGTGGACCAGGAACTCCCGGAAGCCAATGGGCAGCATGTGCTTTGCTTTTTTGTTGCTCCCATAACCAGTGTTGGGCATCAAGATCTGGCCCTTGAGTCTTCTACCAACCCTGTTGTCAACACCTCTGGGTTTCCGCCAGTTACGCTTAATTCTGACATATTGGTCTGACTGGTGCTGGATGAACTTCTTGGTTCTCTTTTTGACGATCTTGGGCTTCACAAGGGGTCTGAGGGCGGCCATGATGCCGAGGAGGAGATGGCTGCCACCTCCGTAGGCAGCGCCGAGGAAATTATATCTCATTTTATGTGTTGGATCCACTGTTTATGAATAGAACCTCCTGACATACGTAATCTTACATATAAAATAAATATTCTGTTTTGTAATTCAAATTTTAGCCTTACCACTGGAGTATTTTACATTAATGAGTTTATCCTAACATGGTACATTGCAACACGGCTTATTGCAGTGAAATTCACAAGTTTTCTATTTTGAATCCAAGAACAAATGAAAATGTCTTTTCAGACATTTGTTTTATTGTGGACTGTTATGGAAGATACCGGTGAGCATGCTATTGTATGAATCTTTAGAGAGACTGTGATCAACATTCAAAGACTTTGGGAATGCAGTGATTATGGACTAAAGAGTATATGTGGTCAAGTGAAAAGTAAATTTAGCATGTCCAGAAAATGAATTATTGTTCACATTTTCCTGCATATTCTGATCAAGAATTGCATTTGTGGTCACCATCAACTGAGAAGGGTAAGAACCTTGGAGGGTGAACAGAAGCCAGCATCTGTGGGCAACAGAATGGATATAATGCGCTGTCATGAGTAATGCTGAAGTTAGTATTAAATAAATGCTACTAAGGAATTGTGGAGGCAAGATCTGTATAATTTCCTCAAAACATGTTCCAAAGGGTCATAGTATTGTGAGTAATAGCAGCATTGCTTCAATTTTCTTGAGGTGGAAAATATAGAATTAACTAGGAATGGCACATTTGACAATATAAGAGAATGAACAAATGCTACCTGTATTGAACTGGAAGAAATGGCACCTTGAGACTGCAAAGAATCTTTATGTAAACTGATTGGACAATATATACATATATAAGGACTTTTCTCTAACTGTTATTCTAACTTTTTAATGATAAACCTATATACATTTTATAATAGGCTTATAAATATTAAAATGCATTTTAAATGTTATTTATATTGACAAGGATTTTTCAAACTCCATAAGTGGCCTTTAATGCAGTTGAACATGCCCTCCTAATACATAATAGTGCATTTTGAAGTGATTTGTTCTGTGACTCTTTTGTTTCTGCCTCTCTTCCCCTGACCACTACTTCTTTTGTTTTCTCTCCATGCTACTCTCCCTACACCAGAAGTTAAGGATAATGTAGGGGCTCTTCAGGGGTTTTTGGTAGGTTTCCTTCTCTTCTTACTCTGTTCTTTTCCTGGGTCATCCCTTCTACTTCCATTGCTTCACTTATAATCCGTAATCAATTCCCATATTCATATCTTATTTGAGGGCCAAATCCGTAAGTCCAAAAATCAATAACCAGGATAAAATTAACCTACACCATTTTGTTATAAGACCAACAGGTTTGTATGTCCACTGTTCAGTAACAGAACCATTACACTTAGATAGCAGGAATGCAGCAGAGATAGGATTTATTGATCGTAGAGTGTCAAGCAAGGATATGGGAGAAGACTCTGAAATCCATCTCCCTGAGGGGTTCTGGGGAAGAGTTTTTAAGGGGATGGAGGGTGACGGGATGGAAAATCAGAGTTGTTTACTGTTCAGGGCAAGGAGAATGAAGTCATCTGGATTAGGAAACTGCAGACAACAAACAACTATGAGGCAGCAGGTCAGAGAGCAATCTGACTTAATAATCAATGCTGAAAGTGCTGCAAGCTTGGTTTATTTTTATTTATCTATCTCCCGTCTTCCCTGATTAATTTTATACAGTTTATAGAAGTGATTCTCATTTCTTTTATCAAAGTTTCAACTTTACCACATTATATACTCATTTTTTTTTTTTCACGCTTTAATGCCTTTAGTTTTCCGTCCCCCTTAATGTTTATAGATGTTATCTTCAGGAGTATCAGGTCTGTCTGGATGTTACTTAACCATGCCAGAAATGGAAAACTGTCTGATACTAGTACAAGCACTCGAGGTTTCTTATGATTTAGTTTGCTTTGTATACTTTTTTTTCCCATTCTTATAGTTTTTATTCTGTGTTATATTTATATATATTCTGTGTTATATTTAAAGTGAATTTCTTCTGAACAGCATATAGGACAGACTTGCTTTTTTTTGAAAAAAAAAATTCATCTATTTCTTCCATTCATTTAGACTGAGGTTTCTCAGCCAGAGCACTGTAAACATTTGGACTAGACACTTCTTTGTTGCTGCAGCTGGGAGTAGAGTGCTATTCTGTACATTGTAGGATTCATTTTTTTAATTATTATACCTTAAGTTCTAGGGTACATGTGCACAACGTGCAGGTTTGTTACATAGGTATACATATGCCATGTTGGTTTGCTGCACCCATCAACTCATCATTTACGTTAGGTATTTCTCCTAATGCTATCCCTCCCCTAGCCCCCCACCCTCCAACTGGCACCAGTGTGTGATGTTCCCCACCCTTTGTCCAAGTGTTCTCATTGTTCAGTTCCCACTTATGAGTGAGAACATGCGGTGTTTGGGTTTCTATCCTTGTGATAGTTTACTGAGAATGTTGGTTTCCAGCTTCATCCATGTCCCTACAAAGGACATGAACTCATCCTTTTTATGGCTTCATAGTATTCCATGGTGTATATGTGTCTCATTTTCTAGTACAGTCTATCACTGATGGACATATGGGTTGGTTCCAAGTCTTTGCTATTGTGAATAGTGCTGCAATAAACATATGTGTGTATGTGTCTTTATAGTGGTATGATTTCTAATCCTTGAGTATATACTCAGTAATGGGATTGCTGGGTGAAAGGGTATTTCTAGTTCTAGATCCTTGAGGAATCTCCACACTGTCTTCCACAATGCTTGAACTAATTTACACTCCCACCAACAGTGTAAAAGCATTCCTATTTCTCCACATCCTCTCCAGCATCTGTTGTTTCTTGACTTTTTGATGATCACCACAGTAACTGGTGTGAGATGGTATCTCATTGTGGTTTTGATTTGCATTTCTCTGATGATCAGTGATGATGAGCATTTTTTCATGTGTCTGCTGGCTGCATACATGTCATCTTTTGAGAAGTGTCTGTTCATATTCTTTGCCCACTTTTTGGTGGCACTGTTTGTTTTTTTTCTTGTAAATTTGTTTAAGTTCTTCGTAGATTCTTGATATTAGCCCTTTGTCAGATGCAAAAGTTTTCTCCCATTCTGTAGATTGCCTGTTCACTCTGATGCTAGTTTATTTTGCTGTGCAGAAGCTCTTTAGTTTAATTAGATCCCATTTGTCAATTTTTACTTTTGTTGTCATTGCTTTTGGTGTTTTAGTCATGAAGTCTTTGCTCATGCCTATGTGCTGAGTGGTGTTGCCTAGGTTTTCTTCCAGGGTTTTTATGGTTTTAGGTCTTACGTTTAAGTCTTTAATTCACCTTGAGTTAATTTTTGCATAAGGCGTAGAGAGGAGTTCAGTTTCCGTTTTCTGGTTATGGCTAGCCAGTTTTCCCAATACCATTTATTCAATATGGCATCCTTTCCCCATTGCTTGTTTTTGTCAGGTTTGTCAAATGTCAGATGGTTGTAGATGTGTAGTGTTATTTCTGAGGCCTCTGTACTGTTCTATTGGTCTATATATCTGTTTTGGTACCAGTACCATGCTGTTTTAATTACTGTAGCCTTGTAGTATAGTTTAAAGTCAGTTAGCATGATTCCTCCAGCTTCGCTCTTTTTGCTTAGAACTCTCTTGTCTATACAGGCTCTTTTCTTGGCTCCATATGAAATTTAAAGTAGATTTTTCTAATTCTGTGAAGAAAGTCAATGGTAGCTTGATGGGGATAGCATTGAATCTCTAAATTACTTAGGGCAGTATGGCCATTTTCACAATGTTGATTTTTCCTATCCATGAGTATGGAATATTTTTCCATTTGTTTGTGTCCTCTCATTTCCTTGAGCAGTGGTTTGTAGTTGTCCTTGAAGAGGTCCTTCACATCCCTTATAAGTTGTGTTCCTAGGCATTTTATTCTCTTTGTTGCAATTGTGATTGAAACTTCACTCATGATTTGGCTCTCTGTCTATTCTTGGTATATAGGAATGCTTGTGATTTTTGCACATTAATTTTGTATCCTGAGATTTGCTGAAGTTGCTTATCAGCTTAAGGAGATTTTGGGCTGAGATGATGGGGTTTTGTGAATATACAATCATGTCACCTGCAAACAGAGAAAATTTGACTTCCTCTCTTCGTATATGAATTCCCTTTATTTCTTTCTCTTGCCTGATTGCCCTGGCCAGAACTTCCAATACTATGTTGAATAAAAGTGGTGAGAGAGAGCATCCTTATCTTTTGAAAGTTTTCAAAGGAAATGCTTCCAGATTTTGCCCATTCAGTATGATATTGGCTGTGGGTTTGTCAGAAATAGTTCTTATTATTTTGAGATGCATTCCATCAACACCTAGTTTATTGACTGTTTTTAGCATGAAGGGTTGTTGAATTTTATTGAAGGCCTTTTCTGCATTATTGACATACTCATGTGGTTTTTGTCATTGGTTCTGTTTATGTGATGGATTGTGTTTATTAATTTGCGTATGTTGAACCAGCTTTGCATCCCAGAAATGAAGCTGAATTGATCGTGGTGGAGAAGGTTTTTGATTGTTGCTGGATTCAGTTTGCCAGTATTTTTATTTTATTTTATTTTATTTTTCATTATTATACTTTAAGATCTAGGGTACATGTGCACAACGTGCGGATTTGTTACATATGTATACATGTGCCATGTTCGTGTGCTGCACCCATTAACTCGTCATTTACATCAGGTATATCTCCTAATGCTATCCCTATCCCCTGTCCCCTCCCCACAATAGGCCCCAGTGTGTGATGTTTCCCTTCCTGTGTCCAGGTGATCTCATTGTTCAATTCCCACCTATGAGTGAGAACATACAGTGTTTGGTTTTCTGTTCTTGTGATAGTTTGCTGAGATTGATGGTTTCCAGCTACATCCATGTCCCTACAAAGTACACAAATTCATCCTTTTTTCTGGCTGCATAGCATTCCATGGTGTATATGTGCCACATTTTCTTAATCCAGTCTGTCACTGATGGACATTTGGGTTGAT